ATGCTCAGCTAGACCAGAGATATGTCTCTGGCTAGACCAGAGATATGTCTCTGGCTAGACCAAGGAATTGTATATTTAAAAATTTAAATTTTATATAAAAATTGTCAATCATTGTTATGTATTGTTATTAAAATTTTTATATAAAAATCTGCATTAGATATATATACAATTCCTTGGCTATGCATATCCATTGTTGCAAACTATTTGTACTCTTTGATTTAATACCCCTGCAAACATCTTCTTTTGGGGGGTGGGGATGGGAGTGATAGATTCACCCTGTAAGGTTTTCTCTTATATTCTGAAATATTTTTTATACAGGAGCAGTTTCTTATATATATATATATGAGACTCAGACTTCTTTTAAACTGAGTTACATACTGTGCTAATTCTGTGAGTTTTTTATTCTACATTGGCTAGAGATATGGGGAGGATCATCGATTTGAGAAAAGTCAAGAACCTTGATCTATACTTTGTAAGTCTTGTGTGTTTTTTAAATTTTGGTTCATTTGTATGGTTCAGAGTTTAGTGTGGCGTCCATTGAACTACATGTAGTAGACATTATTGTTAAGGGGCAAGTTAAATAAATATAAGAAGATGTGGTATGAGTAAAGCCTGACATTATAATGGGTCAGCTGGATTTTCTCTCTGCATTGGAGACCCATTGTTGGCTTAGGGCTAGTTTTCTACTCTTTGGTCCGGTTTTTGTCTCTTTGACACATTCATTAATTTCATTCTCTTTTCTATATTACCCTGATTTTAATATTTACAGACTTTAAGTAATAAAAGGCATTCAAGGTTATAATTTGGGCATCATAACAATGATTGACATAAAAAAGTATTAAATTTCAGTATTTTTATATAAAATTTGATGTTCTGAGCGAACTTCTGACGTAAATTGTTTCCATTTGACAGTGGCTGAGTGCATCATTCAAAATGTGCAATATTACCATTAAAAGTCTGCCTGAGACTTTTGATTAATGCAAAAGCACACAGTCAGAAACTTTACATTTGTTTTTAAAAGCACATTTTACTATACCAGATTTTGACTTAAGGAAAAACACGGATCACAGAAATCTTCCATAATTCAAATTGTCAAGAAAGCAATTTCTTAATAATGACATAAGTTAGTTTTATGAACCTTCAACAAAATTTAAACTATTAAAGGATTATATAGATAATATGATTATGTTATGATATGGTTCAGTTATTTTATTAAAGTTGTTTTTGATATTGACTTAATTGACATTTAAAGAATTTTCACATAAATATATATAAGTAGACATCTATAGTGTAGCAAATAAGAATTTTTACATGAAAATATTTTAAAAGATCAGTTCATCCCATAAAGTTAAAAATCTTGATAAAGTATTAAGCAATTAAATATTTTTGAAATGTTTACATGTAAGTGGCTCCCTCCCACTATTAACATGATATATGAAACTCTGAGTAGGTGTCATTAAGCAGGAGAAAAATATCATTTTTTAAAATATATAGATGTAAAAAAGATCAAAGGATATAAGCTTTGAATGGGGTAAGTTACATTTGTAGATATTTTCTAATAACAGTGAAATGAAATATTATAATGTACATTCAAAAGCACAAAACTGCAAAAGCAAAAATAAAACAACATTAAAAAGCTACGTGAGTTAAATTAACTTTTCATTGAGAGCATGATTCAGCAATTTCAAGTTTTTTTTACTAGTTACATATTTTATTGCATTTTGAAGGTAGACTGTAAAATGCATATATATATATACTGTACCAAGTAACTTTTTTATTTTCGAACATTTTCTTTTACATATATGTAAAGACATGACAAATTAAGTAGGTAGTAACTATATAGAATTATATATTTTAAATATGTTGAATTATCATAATTATTAGCAAGAATTTTTTTTTTTATTAATTCCTGTATCAAATTTTTGCCTAGGTTTTAAAAACTGTAACTGCAAACAACATGGACATTAACATAACATATTATAATTTAATGAAAAACGTTTTGTTCTATAGTCACAATAATGAGGGTGTCCACGGCTTTTCTGAACTCTAAGACTCAAGACAATCTAGAGCTTGAAAACTATATGGCTTTTGATTTTGATTTTTATGTTTTGTTTTTTTCTGATGGTGAATATCCCACATTTACCTTGATTCATATTTCTAATATAAAAACATACAAATAAGATGTAATATGAATGCCAATGATACATCACTCCAGTCAAAGGACCAAATAAAGTAAAAATTAGCAATTATAGGTCACCGTAAGAGCCTTTCACAATGAGCAAAATCCATACCCCAACCAACGCATTAATGTTAAAAAATTCATACGAGAAAAATATGATTTATGTACAAAACAATAAATAAAAAACAATTTATGATATTTGTTAAGGTTAAAAAATGAAAAGAAGATACCAGGGGGCGACACAAATCTAAGTAAATAAAATTGAGAATGGAAATGGGGAATATGTCAAAGAGACAACAACCCGACCATAGAGCAGACAACAGCCAAAGGCCACCAATGGGTCTTCAATGCTGCGAGAAAATCCCGCACCTGGAGGTGGTCCTCAGCTGGCCCCTAAATAAAATTGTGTGCTAGTTCAGTGAAAATGGACGTCACACCAAATTCCAAAACATATAAATGAACTAAAATTAAAAACATACTAGACTAACAAAGGCCAAAATGGCCGGAACAAAAATTGTAAAAAAAAAGGTCAACAAATATTACAAACAAAACTCAAGATTAAGTGCAAGAACCCTGCCAATATTTGTGGGTAAGTTTCTGCCCCACTGGTACAATCACCCGTCACATGCTGTGTTGCTCATGGCAAGGAAGGTATCAGTAATAATAGGGAATGAAGACAATATGTTGACTAGGATGATTGGAACAAACTTGTACATGGTCATATATATATAACATAGATATTCCATAAAAGTCAACAAAGGATCCAAAAAGGGGGTAGGGGGTGGATATGAGCATGGACAACAGGAAAAAAGTGTACATTTGAAGATGATCAAAAATAAAAAATATAGCTTACACTTTACTTTCTTACCAATTTGTACGAAAATTAGTGAATATTTCAGCTTCAACCTCCTGTTTTGTTAGATTTTTTTTCTGCTTTGTATTTTGTATAGATCTGATGAGTTAAGCCTTTTCCAACTGATCTTTATAGTTTGTTATTATGTTGTGCCATTACACCACTGTCCCAGGTTAGGGGAGGGTTGTTTCGTACAAATTGGTAAGAAAGTAAAGTGTAAAGCTATATTTTTTATTTTTGATCATCCCCAAATGTACACTTTTTTCCTGTTGTCCGTGCTCATACCCACCCCCTACCCCCTTTTTGGACCCTTTGTTATTAGGAAGTCTCAGGGGAATCTTCCATCAACAAGAAGATACAGTCCATATGCAGGTACTGCTGGAATATAAAATATAATTAAAATACTTCAGATATGAGAAAAAAGGGTCCTTGAATTAATTTTCAGCACAGAATTTTTTTGACAATTTTTTTGACCATTTTTTTTTTCATCCCATTTCTAAATTAATTTCATCTTATGATAAATTACATTTGGACCACAATTACATTATATTTTAACCAAAGATAAATTATTTTCTCATGTAGATACTTAGTTTGATCTTCATTGATTTATTTAGGACATAACTATAACATTCCAGTGTTCATTTATCATATAGACATCAAATTCCTGGTACCTTTAAAATGCAGTGTACTTAATCCTTGAGATAACATACCCCATACTGACAATATAATACTATTTTACATATACTGTCAAAGTACTTTTCCTTATTGGTATCAGTTTTAGTGGTTTGTGAAAATTGTTTTTTATAGTGTTTTAAATTTGTGGTTTTAAGATTGATGAACACAATCTGAGGCCACACTTAAAAATATTTTGGTTTGCCCAAACCCTACCAAAAGGTAGGTAGGCATTTTCTTTTTTTTTCAGCAAAGAGAAATTGAAGTGTCAGATGTTTTTTTAGTCTTCATGCCTATCTGATTAAAAAAAAAAACTTTTTCACATCAGGACAATAAAAAATTTTGAGTTGGCAGCTATTTTCTGGGTAGGTAGGGTTAGGGCAATCACACTATTCTTTTTTATGGCCTGACTGCATGAAAAAAACATATTTTTAAAGAGAAATTAAATTTTGTGTTTTGATGGAATTTGAAAAACTATAGATACTGGTACCCCATCAATATTAATATATATCTACTGGAAACAAGTATATCGACTGAAGATGAAGTCTGAGGTCAATATACTTCTTTAATTCAATATATCCTCATATCGACCTCATACAAAGGCTTTAATTGTTATATCATTATTATCAGTATGCCTGAAATAGAGAAAAAGAAAACAACATTTGATTGGTTGTAATGATTGTGTCACAAAGTATTGAGGTTTTTAGATTTCTAATTTTAGATATTTTAAGAATAGTTGTGCAATATCACTTTTCTATCTGCCATTTTCAGTCTACCTTTGAAAATACAGTTGAACAATGTGACTATAGTTCTGAAAGAATCAAACGAGTTAGGTTATAAGAAATAATAATATTGCTCATAATACACTTTTACCAGATATGTGCAGTTACTCTGAATTATATATGAGGGTCTGGATGAGGGATTTTCATTTCTTTATTCTTTTAATTTTTTAAGCCATTTTTCCTATTTATTTATTTTGTCCATTATCTCTCCATTCTTTATATTTAAACACTCCTAAGGCATGTTAGGTGTAAAAAAAAAAGATAACTTTTATTATGGCCTTCAACAATGAGAAAATTCTACGGTAAAGTCAGCTATTAAAGGCTCAAACATAAAAAAAAAATTGAAGTTTACAGTTTAAGTAATTTTTTGAAAACTCTTTCAGTAATGACAATATAAAGGAACCTCTTAGTTATCTGCCCCTGTTGCACATATTTAAATCCCTGAGTTTTCATTGATCTGTAAAAAGGACCTATTGTTTAATTTGTGCTTAATCTTCTCAAGTACAGTCTGATATTTTATTCTTTAAATATCATAATCTTTAAATGACGTTCAATAGGCTGTGTCGGTTTCAAATACATGTCTTAATTTGTTAAACAAGTGCTTGGTAATAATATTACCACGTTAATTGCAGTGTCGATTTCAAATTCTGAAAAGGTGAAATAATATTTGTTAACTTTATCAAAGGAGAAATTGTACGCCATGGACATTAAACATTTTAGATGCATTGTTGATTTGAAATTCATTTGAGGAGAAGTTTTGGATTTTTATTGAAAAATTGATTCCAAATTCGTAACAGGTAGAATATATTTTAATATTTATTAGTTTGCTTTTTTTTAAAGGAGAATTTTTCATTTCAAATGTGAAGCATGATAATTTATGTAAATGGAGAGTTGATTTTCAATTTAATTTAAAAAAAAAATGCTTTTATTTTTTCTTTTAAACCCAAAATATATTACACAATCTAGAATTGCAATGTTCATTTAAATACATGAAAGAAGAAATATATCTTGCATGTTAATGTAATGTCAATTTCAAATTTGCAAAAAAGTGTTATAAAACTTTTATGTCTTATTATGAACACTTTCTACACATAACCTTGGATTGTCCTAATTAACGTGTTAATTGGCCAACCATGAAAGGGTGTTATATTATCAACAGAAAAAAAGTATACCACAGTTCTTTTACCTTGCAAACATTTAGCACGCTAATTTGTGATTACCTAAAATGAAATATACATTAAATTTGCAAATTTAGTGTATTTCAAACTTATAAAACGCAAAAAAAGCGAACATTTTTTTTTTTATACATTGAATTAACATACATGAATACATTTTTAGAAGGTATTTTTATAGCAATGCATTATGGTGTTAATGCATATTATTCTTGATCTACAAGAAAAATAAGATTTAAAAATGTAATTCTTGTATATATATACTTAAGGTCATTGTGTACATTTCAAAAGAACATTTTTAAATCAATAAGAAAAAAATCCAAATTTAGCTAAATCCTTTCTTTTGAAATGAGTGTACTAATTATGTAGTATATTTAACACTAGAGGGCGAAAACACATTTGTTTAAATTTATTATCAATAGGTTAAAAAATATACAAAGGAATCTATGTCAAAAGGCCTCAAACAATTTAGATAATTAATTCTTCAATAATCAATATAATAAACTGTAATGTTTATTTTGTAGATTGTCACCTGTAATATTTACCTGGGATTTTCTGAATTTACTTGTATCTCACCTGAGTTAGAAAGCATGGATTTATAGAAAGTAGCTTTTTTTTTTTGTGGATAGAATGATTAATTTCTGTGATATAATTTGAAATTGATTCTGACATCACCTGTCTAAAATGGAAATCTATTACTGTGGATTTGTAAAGAATGTGGATATTTCATGTGGATTTTAATTAACTACGGATTAATAATGCAGAAATAAGGTTTGTTTATTTATAATATGTGATGGTAACGCAAAGAAATACAACTTCTATTTTTATCTTTTTAATAAGACCTAAGACAATAACTAGGGTTTAACCTTCCTGTCTCATGTCAATTGGCACTTTTATCATAAGGGTCTGTGATATGAAACAGCACCTGCATGGGCAGGTGAATGTAACCTGTAATTAGAAAAATACTTATGACCCATTAGTAGGTCAGTATGACCTTAGAATGCTATCTCATAAATACATGTCTTTTATTTAGAAAGGGCATTTGAGGGTAACCAAATGGTAAGGGGTAGGGTCCGTTTCCTATCAAATTGCCCCAAATTGCACAAAAGTTCTAATTTCAAGAACTAACAAATTTCCGTTAGCCTTGATATACCTTGATATATGCCAGGATCTACCTTATTGTCAGGGAACTTGTGTCCTTATAGACTTTTGATCATTTCATTGGCATTGATCAGTTTCGTGTACATCTCATGATTCTAAGACAGCAATGTTTATAATTAGCTCAGATAAATGCATCGATGACCATAGACAGAATTATTAATGATTCACACAAAGGGGGAAATTTTGTAGCAGTTGCTAATTCATAGCTTGATATTTAATCATAATTATTCTAGAAAATTATTTATAACATGCAAATGAAGAAACAGAACATTAAAACTTCAAGTATAATTATAAATTGATAAATACAATTGTCTACCTGATATGATCTGATATAGAGATAGATATTGTTCCATAGGGATGGGTGAAAAAAAGAGGAGATTAAAAACTCATAAATCTAAGAGAGACTGACAATTCCTGGAAATACAAAAACCACAAAAAGACAAGCAACAGGCTACAAAACTCTACATAAACAAGAATGTGTCCATAGTACACGAATGCCCCACTCGCGCTATCATTTTCTATGTTCAGTGGACCATGAAATTGGGATCAAAACTTTAATTTGGCATTAAAATTAGAAAGATCATATCATAGGGAACATGTGTACTAAGTTTCAAGTTGATTTGACTTCAACTTCATCAAAAACTACCTTGACCAAAAAACTTTAACCTGACACGTACGGGACAGACAGACAGACGGACGGACGAATGAACGGTCGCATAGACCGAAAAACATAATGCCCCTAGTTGGGGCATAAAAACAAAACACTAAGCAACACCTACCAAAAATTAGGAGATATTTCAGGTTCCCAGGGAAGGGTTAGCAGTTCCTGCTCCACATTGGTTTTGTATGGCGACGTATAGTTAATGATGAACCCTCACAAACAAAAGAGTGAAGTTGAAGCTCAGTAACACACGTGTACTTGAAAAATGGCCACAAATAGCACACATAACAACAGACCACAACAATTGCTAACCAACACTTCATTTCTCCCGAAGAAAAAATCACTGGCGTACAAACAAAGGAAAACAACAACGTACAACACATGGTCCAAGTAGTGGAAGAGTGGGGTTAGGGTTTTTAAAGATATTTCTGAAGTATTGTATTAAAATTCTGATTTGGTGTACATTAGTGTTGCACAATTGACATGTATTTTCCCCTGTGTTTTGAAAAGTCTTCCTTTGCTCCACATCCACAATCAATTCAGAATTCCTCATGGACTAATTCCAGGACAGTTCTTTTTGTAGGAAACCTATTTTGAAAAGAGGATATAGTTTAGAATTACTGAAATACTCATTTAAATGTAGCATAAAGATAAATTTGTATTGATTATTCGAGTTATTGGAAATATTGACATTTTTCTTGATAAAGAAATCCTTGTAATTATCTGGAGTGTCAAAAACATGTATCATGTCAGATGTATATATTTCTTTTGATAAAAAGATAACTTATGATGAATTTGCCACTAGACAGTTCGAAGATATTTAAATTACTTTGAAAGCAAAGGTTACAGTGCTAAGCTTGATTCCAAGAATTAAATTTAGACTTTGAAACCGTCAAAAAAAGAACATCTACTTGAGATTTAGTTGGACAATCTTAAATTTGTTGGGAAAATAAATTGTCAGATATGATTGATACAATGTAGCCTTATCTATAATGACCTTCAACAATTAGGAAACACATTTATACCTAAGAGGTGTAAATACAAGTTTCAATAATTGACATTTTATCTGACATTTGATAAAAACCTTGAAGACTAGATTGTCTTGCATGTCCTTCAGATACATGTAGATATAAAAATAAGAAGATGTCAATTCTTTACCAGAAACCAAATGACATAGAAGTTAACAACTATAGGTTATCATATGGCCTTCAACAATAGGCAAAACTATTACAGCAGTTTGAAAAGACTCAAATTTTTTCACTGGATTACCTTTTGTGTGCATGAACTTTAAATCTACTAGGATTTTTTGCTTGTAAAGGAAAGTTTGGAAAAAGTAATTACTGGTATTGCACAAAAAAACTGGAGGTTCGAGGACCATGAGTAAATCATTTTGAAAGACCTGGAAGGGTAAAAATAATTAAGATGTTGTGTTCAACTAGACAAAAGGACAAGCTCTTTCTTAACTTGACTTGCAATTTTCCTCTGTGGAATAAACTTGCATTTTTATATGCCCATTAAAATTTTGACGGGACATATTATGGTATACAAATGAAGTCTGTCTGTCTGTCCGTCTGTCTGTCCGGTGTAAACATGTCGCACTGTAACTTGAGAAGGACTTATCCAAATTTCATAAAAATTTACATAGTTGTTTCTTATAATAGTCAAACGATCTGTGTACTTTTTAGTGAAAATAAGATTAAAACTTTTTGAGTTACGGGACTTAGTAACTGAAACAGGTGTGTGTTTTTTTTCACATGTCGCGCTGTATCTCAAAAAAAATTTATGATTATTGCTTAAAACTTTACACACTTCTTAGTTATATTAATCTTAAGAGATCTGTATACTTTTTGGTTTTGATTCAAAATTTTATTTTAGAGATATTGAGTATTTTGTAAAAAAAGGGGGAGGGGTTTTTAACATGTCACGCCGTATCTCAAAAACAATTTATGAATATTGCTTAAAATTTTACACACTTCTTAGTTATATTAATCTAAAGATCTGTATACTTTTTGGTTTTGATTCAAAATTTTATTTTAGAGAGATTGAGTTTTTTGTAAAAAAAAGGGGGGTTTTCGCATGTCGCGCCGTATGTCAGAAACTATTTATGATTATTGCATAAAAATTCACACACAAGACGACGGGCGTATCATGCGCTCATGGCGCAGCTGTTTATTATATAATGGTGTTAATGATGAAAATAAGATTGACATGGCCATTGATGGCCCTTTAAGTAGTTAATTAATAAATGAAATTAGCTGGTCTGATAAAAAAATGGAACTGGTATTCAGCTTGCCTTCTATATATATATACATGTATATATCTGCTTGCTGTGTAGGGGACCACTTATTTCTACACCTTTGGAGATTCCAGTAGGGGACCACTTATTTCTACACCTTTGGAGATGCCAGTTTGGCTAATTGCCACTACTTTGCATGTTCTTAGCTAGAGTTCAAGACATAAATTTAGTTGTACCATCATGACTATCAGAACGACTGATTTTTTTTTCATGTGTATACAATATACATGTACTTGAAAACCAATTTAGAGCTAGCTTTGATTACAAAATGATCGGCAGTATATTATTTTTCTATAGCCATTACATGTTAATTGGCAATTTTTTTACAAATTGTTCATAATTTTCTACCACTAATCGATTACAATAATAGAGTTGGATTCTACCTGCAAATTGTTATGACGTTATTACGATTACTATCAAAATAAATAGGTCATCTATGGTAGGCCATCAGCTGTTTAATTGCTTTAAATATGAAAGTTAGAAAGTCTCCCAGGTGTGCAAATAAAGTGGTGATTGCAAAATGAGGCTCATAAAAATGATAATTTTGAGTAAGAAGTAAGGTTAAAGCATGTACCAAACTTGATCTGACCATACTGAAAACAGATTGTGAAAACAAATAGATGACAAATGCTGATCCAGGATTTTGAAAAAGGGGGGCCTCCAAAATAGTCAACTTTTGGAGTGGAACATGCATTAATCATATATGGAGCTCCTTAAAGAGGGGGGGGGGGGGGGGGTTGGCCCCTCTGGATTAGAATAGTCAGGTAGCAGCTAGACCTCAAGCATGTCAAGTAAAGTTTGCATGCAGACTTTCTTTTAGAATCCACCGTATATGCCATGGTATACATGGTATATGGCCCCTAGTGTACTGGGTCCTGTTCCAGTTTTATAAGGAACAATTGGCAAAACTTACCACTTTAAGTGAGTTGTTTCCCTTTTCACAAAACAATGTATTTTTAATGAAAAGTGACTTATGATTTGGTTATAATTGAGTGACAGTTCTCAATAATTTTTACAGACAGGATATGGGAAAAGAGACTAAAACCGGTACTAGGGGTCATCTTTAATTTTGTGAGGTGAGAATTTTTACTTAGTCTTGAAGGCCTCACTGTGACTTTGAGATGAAGAACAGCAATAAAAGCACTGTTCCTTTGCTTTTGTTTTTTGCCGTACATGTACTGATTTTGTGTTGGGGATGGATACCCCATATCCCTTCTTTTTTATTATACTAACTTTGAACAGGGTGACTGGGCCTTCGTTATGGAGCTACATTATTGGTTATTAATGCAGACCTTTTACCTGTTCCACTCCAAACATTGTCTATTGTGGGGTCCCCTTTTTCAAAATCCTAGATCCGCATCTGTAAACCACTAAACGGACAAAAAAAACAAATAAAAACAAATATATTTAAGGACTTTAACCATTCCCTACAGAATAGATCAGATACAAAGATAAAGAGCATAATAAGTTATAAAATTGTATTCAATCCTTTTAAAAAATGAAAATATTGTTGTACATCATGTATATAGATCTCTCACAGGAATTTGTCGTATTTTAAATATTTACGTATAATTATTTACTAGTATAACAAATAGGATAATATGATACTAGAATTATAACCCAGTAGTATTCAGTACGACAGATTAAAAAACT